TGCAGGTAGCACAGAGCGACAGAAGGCGGCGACGAAATGACAAGAAAAGCGCTAATGAAATAATTAGTATAATTACAGAGTGAAAAGACTTATATAAATGGACTCCAAACAAGCAAAGAGGAAAAGAGAGGAAAAAAAAACCAACAAGATATGATAAACCTACTCAAGATCTGTTGTTTCCCATCCAGGTCCACAGACTGGTCATCGGAATTTGAGAGTTAGCAGTGAGGGGAACAACATGGCGTATGCAAATCCTAGGTCAGATGTATCTGTCTTTTACGCCAACTCAAGGAGTTTGGTTAACAAGATTAATCAGCTGGAACTAGAGATTGCTACCTATCAATATGATCTCATGGTATTTACGGAGACTCACTTGGACAGCTCTATTTTGGATAGTGAACTCTTCCCTTCTATTTATACGGTTTTCGGGCGTGATCGTGTTCAAAATGGTCGACGCGGTGGCGGTTTTTTGATAGCTGTACGCGATACGTTGCGTGCGCCTGTGAGAGAAGATGTTAATTTCGATTCGGAATTATTATTTGTCGATATTATATCCCCGGCGAATAGAAAAATTAGTCCAGGTGTCTTCTATAGGCCGCCTAACAGTAGTATTAACTGCCTGTTGGATCTACAAACGGCTCTTGATACTGTGCTTTCTTCATCACAAAACCCAGAAATGGTCCTTGTTGGCGACTTTAATATTCCCGAATTCGACTGGAACACCAACTGCGCTTCTGTGGATTCACCTAACGCTACTTTTTTGTCGGATATCCTACACGACAATTTTCTATTCCAGCTGGTCAAAGACCCAACTCGCAACAGAAATATCTTAAACTTGGTATTAGTCACGTCTCTTGACCTAGTCTACGATCTAAAAGTTGGCCTGCCCTTCTCTGACCATAACTCGATCTCTACGCTACTATCGAGAAAATCATTCTCTGGAAGGAAATCGCAGAACTTGAGCTATTCATTTAAGAAGGCGGATTGGAATCACCTCAGGAATCTTTTATATTACACTCCATGGCTTGTGCCTTTATGGATACTGACATTGATTGTATTTGGGCTGCATGGTCTGATATGTTTTTATCTGCTGTCAACGAGTGTATCCCAAGGCGTACAGTGAAGAGAACTTCGAATGCACCCTGGATAAGCGGGGATCTAATTAAGTTGAATGTGTAGAAGAAAGAAAGTGCTTTATAAAAGGGCACAAAAAACTTGTGCTCTTTCTGATTGGAACAAATATCGTAAATTCAACAACTATGTAAAGAAGGAGTGTAACTGTGCACGTAGGCAATTTGTAAACAATCTGGCAGGTGAACTAAAGACCGGAAACAGTTCAAAGCCTTTTTGGAACTTTGTTCAATCAAAGAGAAAAGTTAAATGTGATTTAGCGTCCTTAAAGGTGAACGATTCGTTTCTTAACGACGACCTGAGCATTGCCAATTGTATGAATTCTTATTTCTCATCGGTGTTTACTGTTGAGGATCACGAAAATTTTCCCGACCTTCAATACATTACCGATGAGAAATTTTGTAACATCTTTTGTTCTGGCAAGGAAGTTGAGAAATTGCTAAGAAATTCGAATATTTATAAGTCCCCTGGGCCCGAATACATATCACCTCGCATCCTAAGAGAATGTGCTCAAGTGTTGTCATCTCCACTGGCTTTATTTTTTAATACATCCTTCTCCCAAGCTCAACTACCAAGTATATGGAAGTCGGCCCACATCACTCCAGTCCATAAGAAAGGGAGCAAAAATCTCATGGAGAACTACCGCCAAATATCACTGACTTGTATTGTTTGCAAGATTGCAGAAGCTGTGGTAAAGTCCCGTGTGGTCGACTTTTGGTCAGACCTCAATCTTTTAATTCAGACCATTTGCGTATCTAAGGGGTAAATCGACGTTGGCACAATTACTTACATGTTACAATGACTGGGCAAAGGCTAGGAATTGCTCGCAACAAACGGATATCATCTTCTTAGATCTCTCTAAGGCTTTCGACAGCGTGCCACACGAGCGTTTGCTGCTGAAACTACAACGGTATGGGATAGACGGCTCTCTACTACTGCGGATTAGAAATTTTTTGACGAATAGAAGGCAGCGTGTCGTGTTAAGGGGCAATTGTTCAGACTGGTCGCCCGTGATTTCAGGTGTGCCTCAAGGAACAGTCAAGATCAATAAGGATTCGGATCTTAAGCATGAAGTCACAAAGTTGACGGCAGAGGAAAATAGCTCACATTTGTCCAAGAGTTTCACAGGAGGCCATGAAGCGATTGTATTCTCAAGCGGCGACAGGGCTCTCTAGTCAATATAGCAAGTCTGATCAGCGAAAATCAAACAGAAACTTAATGTTATTCGTCGTTGGTGTTTTCGTTCTAAAAATGTATGTAAAACTCTCACTTCAATTTAACGAGTCAGGCCAGCACGGCTTGTTTTTTAAACAGAACGTACGTGTTAATGTAATTCGCCTCAGGGGTTTCCGTTTTTAGCTGCTAAAACTCTCCTAAATTGTTTTCTGGCTGATTTGAAAATTAATATTTAGCCAAAGGAAGACTCAGTGAGATAAAGGACACTAAAATAAGGGACTTGTCAGAAATTAGCAGAGGGGGAGGGGGGGGGGTGGGAATTTTAAATTTGGGTTCGGAAATTAGGTGACCCATCCCTGCAATGGGAGTGAAATTTGCTAACCCTCCCCTTGAGCTTGGCCTAAAATATCATGACCCTCCCCCTCTTGTATAAATGATAAAATCTAGTTCTTGCAATACACTAGGGTGCGTCAGTATTATGAAAACTCAAAATATATTTCTAATCTGTTCTTTGTCATGCTACATACATACATTTTCGATGACAGCATTAAGAGTCCGACTGATCACTCGACTCTCCTATTTCTCCCAATACAAAGTCCTCATCACTAGAACAAGTGGGTAATGCCTCATCCCCTTCATCTACCTCACATTCATCATGATCATCCACCTCTTCCAAATAAAGAACTTCCTTTTTCTTCCATGGGTAAACCTCTACATGATCACGGGCATATATTTGCATGACCTTCCCCCTTTTAACTGCCCATTTTTCATGACCCCTCCCTTTTCTGAGGCTCAAAAAGTTGTGGCCCCCCCTCTGTTTCCACCCCCCCCCCTCCCCCCCTGCTAATTTCTGACAAGTCCCTAATGACCGAAAAGCATCTCCTCTTGCTCGGAATCTCAATTCGTCAATTTGGAAACAGCAAGATCTTAAATCTATTCGCCAAAATGTAAAAATAAATTCAACAAAACGTCCCCTTCGACGGGCAGTTGCTTTCGTGAAACGAAGTGCACGAGGAAACACAAAACATGGACGTCAGATAATGAAACTATTTTAAAATTTCTTTTAAAATACTAATCTCGCATGCTTATGGTCACACTGTGGCCATAAATGGCTCGGTGGGCACTTACTTCAATCTACTCAAAACGAATGTCAACTGTAAGACTGATGAGTAGCTTAATTTAAATAAATAATGAGATAAATGTGTTAAGTTTCGAATCCAAAATTTATCCTAACATAGTCAGTAATTTAAAACTTGTTGCAGGTAATATGCAAGTTGAGCAAACTCAAACCAGGGGGTCTACTGAGAGGGAAACTCTTTGTATCAAAAGAGATGTAAGTAATTAAAAAATCTTATTCATTTCAAATTTTCAGAACATAATTAACTCAATGGGTCATTTACAGATACATCATCAGACTAAATTTGAAATTTTCGCTTTCTATACCCATCAGGCTTCTCAAGAAATAACAAGAGAGAAATAAGTCGTTAGATGTTATTCTGTTATTTTTCTGGTCTCTGACTTGTTAAAAAATCACTTAATAAAATACCCGAGGTCGCCTGACTGGATTCTGACCGAGACGTTCGGTGTTCTTAAAGTCAAGCCAGGCTATGGCAAATGTCATATTTTGGTGACTTAGTCAGTGTTAGTGTTGGCTAAATCAAATTCCTGAATCGAAGTCGAAATCGGAGCCAACCCTGAAAACAAAATATTTCATGCAATTCATCGAACAAGTAATCCAAATGTAGTCTGTTTGAACGAAGCTGCAAAACAAAGAAATCTTGTCTGAGTCAACAGAAGAAGCGTCACGTCCACGGCCAATTTTTTAACAGTTTTGTACCAAGAATCAAATTCGACTGGGATTAGGATAACAGGAAAGAACTAAGGGATAACTCTCACCACTCAGTTATTATTCAAAAAGACCTCTCGGCAGAATCCGCAAAACAGCATGGAAAAGTTCGGGCTGTATATTAAAAAGTCCAGAAATTGAATGCTGTGTTTCGTCCGAAACCGCTAGTACAAAATCAAGCTATGAAGTGATGGCTGAGGAGCGCCAGGCTTGTAATTAGGCAAGAATACTTTTCACGAGGATTGTCCTCAGAGGTTTCTCTTCTTAGTTGCAGCGTTGTTACGAGTCCCCACATTTCGTATCGTTCGGTTTCGCTCTGATTTTGCACGAAGGTCCTGTGCATTTTTTTTCATGAACACAGGGCAGCTTATGGAAGGTGTGGCAAAAGGCTCGGCGAAATTCGCTATTTCTGAAGAAGTATATCAATGGGTTGATCACTGATGAAATATGCGCGTGCCTCAACCCAAGAACATACGTGAAATCTTATATCCCAATGATTACACACTCAGTTTGCTTTAAATTGCAAAATTGAACCAACAGCAGAACCACAATAGGAATCCATACAATGATGCAAGCACCTAAACTAAAACCGACTGTTTAGATGGCTTTCAAATTTTGCACGCTTAAAACTTTAAAATATTCGCGGGAGTTAGGAAGTTTTTTGGTTGCTGGAATTCTCCTGAATTGCTTTTTAGCTGATTTGAAAATGTATATATAGCAAAAAGAGGCCTCTAATAATTGAAAGACAAACGCTCTACGTGCAAAGAAAATAGCGAAATCGCTTAGATCCTTTCTTACGCGTGGGAACATTATTGGAAAAGGCATTATTGGAAAATGAGATAAAATACACGAAAATTATGACCGCAAAGCATCTCCTCTTACTTAAAATGTCCTGATACCGGAAAGGAAAGCGAAACGCAATGAAACGGTCAATTGAAACACAGGACGAGTTAAAAGTAGTGGCCGCGGTTGTATGAATCCACAGCATTATTGTAATCATAAACAAATTGCTATGAACTCTAGTTTTGTGGCTGTTCTACAAAAACGAGTCTTTAAGAACTATTTCCAACCGGTTTTTAGCCTCGTTATGCGTGGCGGACGTTTTGGTTGACCTTGTAATAAATCCTTTTTGAACTGTTATCAGATGTTGGATAAACAATTGATGACCATCGGAAGTAATAATTTTTAAGCTTATCTCACCTAACTCTCTTTCTTAGTAAAAGTTAATTAAAATATAAGAAAAATTTCTCATTTTGTCATATCAGACAGGTCTTTCCAGACGTAATTTTGCCCCAGTCAAATGCCTGTCACAAAACATTAATAGTTTGTCAAGATATATGAAAAACACTCTCATGCAATAAAAGTTTAGAAGTTTCTTAAAGATAACAAGTGATACGATTTACTGAGAGACAGCCAAGCTAAGCATTGTTGCAAAGAGGATTTTTTTATTAGATTTCAGATCGCTATTTTAATAAGAAATTCACAAACTGAGGTGGCAGCTCACTTCAACATCATCTATCAATGGCAGAGTCCTGTTTCCTTTAAGATATCCTCAGAGCTTTGTCTCCCTAACCGCTCTATCTCTAGATCTTTTAAAAGCATTTCGTACCATCAGGTTTCCACCTGATTTCAGCCAGGTGTTTCTTGTGCTGTGTCTGCAGAGTAACCAACGAAAGGTTCGGCGAAAGGCTTGGCGGAACTCTTTATTTCGAAAGAAATATAAAAATGGATCGATCGCTGATGAAGTAAAAGCGAATACCTCAACCCAAGGCCACACAACATAATATAATCTCCAACTTTTATCCCAGTCATTTATCACGGTATAATAAAAATCAACAAACAGATAAACGAGACTGGGCATCCATGTGATAATACAAGCACCCAAGACAAAACCGATGGTTTTAATAGCTTTAAAATTTTTCATACTACCAACTCTAAAATTGTCGTTATATGTTATAGGACTTTCTCCTGCTAGTATTCTATAAAACTGTTTTTTTGCTGATTTGAAAATTAAAATATAGGAACATGAGACCACAAGTAATGGAATAACAAATGTTATGAATGCCAGGGAAATCCATAACATCACAATATTGAAATTTTCCTTGTCTTTCACCGGCAACGTCGAGAAAGGAAGACCCAGTGAAAATAACCACACCAAAATAATCACTGTGTAACATCTTGTCTTTGTTACAATTTCCTGATAACGGAAAGGAAACCAAATCGCAATGAAACGGTCGACAGAAATACAGCAAATGTTATAAGTGGTTGCGGTGGTTGTGTGAACCCACAACCATTCTAAAAAGACGCTGTCAAATGTAAACCACCAGATGAAAATGATCCAGGTAGGAGCTATCACAAGCCCAACTAAAAGGTCTGCTACGGATAAAGAGGCTAAAAAACGGTTGGAAATTCTTCGTAAAGACTCATTTTTGTAGAACAGCCACAACTCAACTATATTTCCAGTGACAGCTGCAAAACCAGAAATAGAGAGCCACAGTGAAAGGATGATGGACGCTTCACTGCTGAGCTGATCGTGCCGGTGGCTATCATTCATGGTAAGATGGTGGATAGCGACAGCAGAAGAAAGAAAGTAAGCTTGGAAAATGCTCGAAATTTTACCCCCCTTTCAACAAACCAAACACATCTTTCTGAAACTGAATTGTTTTGCATGAATTATCGTATCCTTTTATGCAGATTTATTATGTCGTGAGCAGTGTCCTTGGGCCAGTTGAAGCGAATCTTGTGTTTTGTTTGGCTACCGGGGCAGGCAAGACAGGCCTATCTTGCCCTTTCTGGACTGCCCCTTTGGTCAGGATAGCTCGTAACCTTTTGGACGGTGTCGGCGATGGAGTCGCTAAAAGCGGTAAACGTACGGTCTTGACCATCATTAACGCTTTAGTTTTTAGTTAGCTCTTTTATTGTTCAAACAAATGGGCCAATACATCTAAACGTAACATAAATAAATAACAAGCCATTCAGAATTTCGCCGCTCGTATTATGACTGGCACGCGTATGTACGAACAAATTTTGCCACTCTTAAAAGAGCTTAACTGGTTCCCAGTAGCAACTCAACTTTATTTAAGAACAGTTATCATGGTCTTTAAATGCCTAACAGGCCGTGTGCCAGAGTATCTGTCATCTCAGTTCATCACGCGAAAAGAAATAAGCGGGCGTACCACCAGGAATTCACAAAAGCTGAACAATCCACTTTTCAATTCAGCTAGCGGACAGAGGACCTCTTATTACAGAATAGTTAACTCGCAGCGTGGTTCTCCTAAAACTATTAATTCGACGCCGGTTTTTAAGTATAGTCTTAAACGTGAATTTCTTAAGGACTTTATAAATTCTTAATGATTCTCCTTTCAATTAGCGCTATATTGTTGTCATCAATTAGTAGTTTAAAAAAGTTATTCCCTTTAAAAGCGGAGCTCACAGCGCGCGCGGCGTAGCCCCATAATTATACAAAATAGTAGTAACCCATCAAGGCAAAAAAAAATTTGGACTTATGATCGTACGACCGACCGTACAAGGTGCTACTTTTAGCATGCGTGGCCGAGTGTATCGCAGGCACGTTTTTAGCCATTAGGTAATGGAAGGGCAAAGGAGAAGGTAATGCGCAGGTCCGATTGCATGCGTAACCAGGATACCCTATTAGTGCCAGGAGACACTGGCAGATCACGATGTAGTGCGCATACTCAAGTGCCGAGCTTTAGTGCAGCGTACCGCTGGCACACGGTTAAGCATTACACGAGGGCTTCGCGTGGGCTAGTAGATGTGAAGCCGCGTAGGCAAATAATCTGCAACACGCGTTGTGAGCGGGCAATCAAACTGGTGAGGTTGTAGTTGAACAGTAATTCTCGGTATTTTGCAATTTTTAATCAACTCGCAAAGCAGCAATACCGGCAGAGCTAAAGTTTTGTCAACCGGAGGAAATTGTTATAATTCAAGTTCGTGGAGAAGGGGCTTTGAGTGAAAATAGGCCGGAAAGAAAGAGACAGAGCTACCAAAGAAAGCAAGAAGTAAAAGGCATAAAGCGAGTCGACAAAAACGCGCAAGAAAGTTAGAAAGGACGCTAAAATAGGCAGAATATGGCGAGAGGGACGCGATAGAGAACAAGAAAAGACATAAGTAAAAAGGCAAATATCTAGCGAAGAGCAACATGAGAAGGAAATACAAAGAGCTCCAGAAAACAGACTGAAAAGGGGTCATCAACAAAGAGAAGCGAACCACAAAGGATCCACGAAAGAGGAGGAGGTAAGTCGTGTCTTATCTGGGTTTTCTCTTACGCTAAGGTCCAGAAAGATTCAAACCTTTTTTCCCAATCTTCGTTTGATACTAGCTTAAGTTTATAATTCCAATCAAGTTTCGGTGAAACAATGACTTTTGCATTCATCGCCTTAAACCCCTCGCGCTCGTTCATCGCTCGAATAACATTTCAAAGTGTTCGTTCAAATTATTTCTTGTCCTACCTTTTGGAATCTTTAATACAGTCGTGTTGTTTAGGGGAAAGAAGTTATCTTACGGATTATGTTTTGCCTAGAAAGTTTTAAAATGATAGCGAACGGTGGGAGCAAGTTTTTATCATTCTCTTTTCAGTTGCAAGGTTTACATTATTCATCTAAAAAAAATTGCGCTTTGTCGAATGTTTGTTGTTTTACCCTAAGAACAAAGTAATAGCGTTTCCCAAAATTGAATTACAATGAGATTGAGTCAGCGACGTTCATATTTACATTAAGTCTGACGCGGTAATTTGATTTTGAAAACATTGTCATGTGAGAACCCGTCAAACATCTGAGAATTAAATTACCGAGCGCAAATGTGAGGAGCAAACAAACTCACGGGTAAAGTGGTGTTGATCCTGCAGCGGGAGGAGTGAATTTCATTATTTGGCCGTGGTACTTTTCAGCCCTATATTTTCATGTTTTCTACTCGATTCGTTCGAACTTGAAGAAATGGTTTGTCTCACAAAACATGGAAACACTTTCTCTTCGTTCAACATCTTGAGGCGTCTATAATATATTTATTTGTAATTAATTGAAGTTAATAAGTTATTTATTTATTTTAATTTTTGTATTAGTTATTGTACTTGAAAGCCTCTTCGGGAAAAGTCGATGAAGGATGTATGTATGCGAGTATGTATGTATGTATATTCGATTTACACGCGCCTTCCTGTAAAAATCACTCATCACATATTATTTTTTAGCCTTAATCACGCGTTACGTAAACACTTTTAGGGAACTTAAGCAATGGACGTTTTCGGGGCGACGGCGACTTAGACCGGAAGTTAAGTCATGATCCATGCATTACTGCGAATGATTTAGCCAACTTCTCAGCCATCGCGGGAATGTCGGAGACGTGAAGAGCGGGTGTTTGCCGTTGTGGTGAAAACGTGAGTGTTAGTTTTCTGTCTTGGTGATTTTTGTGACCTCTAACAAATGCTATTTTTTGAAATGTTACTTTTGATTTTATTGTTAATATACAGGTGACTTTTTAGCTCGATTTACCTGTTCTTTTTTGCCTTAAATTCGTCCTAACTTGTGATTTACTCTTCTTTCTAGCCAAACGCATATTATGGCCAACTCAACAAGCACAAAATCGCAAGTGAGATTAAAAACTGAATCTGTCTGTAGATTTGTAAAAAAATATTCAGCCAGGGTGTACTTTGAACTCATTTCTTTGACCATTTCTTTTTATTTTCGGCGAGAAAACAGTAATTTACAGCGAATTGCGATAGTTCACTTATCTACTAATACTGAAAGGTTTAGCTCTAAATATAAACATATAAACACGTTAACAACTGCTTGGTCTCGCTAATTTCATGAGAATGTTATTTTAATGCAATTCAGTGTAAGGTTCATTTTTAAAAACCTTTGGAAAGCGAGTTATATTTTGTTGAGAAATCTTGCCACTCCAATAAACTTAACTTTTCTTCTTCTTCAAGACTCCATGAATGGATTGATCATTTATATATCGAACTTTCTAGCTTTCGTTAGTCAGATTTCGAAATTCAGTATTCATACATGCGTAATAAATAGTGAATTTATGTGTCAAATTAAGAATTAAGAAGTCGATATTACTGCATATGTTGGAACTTTCTCCATTCAAAAGTTTGAAAGATTTTTCAATCTAACGAAATTCTGAGATGCTGTAGTTTCTAAAATTCATTGCTAATTACGCATGCAGGAATGCTGAATTTTAATTCTTACAACACAAAAATATGCAAATGATCTAGCCATAAATGGTTCCTATGGGTTTATTCTTGTCCTGGTTCAACTGAAAAAATAGCTTTTCATGTCTGGTATTGGAACTTTTATAATTATTGTTGTAAAGTAAAATTTGTATGTTTCATGGACAACCAAACAAGTGCACCAGAATTTTAAATTAGCCTGTTTTTGTTCTCTGTTGCATGTGCAGCCATCAATCACAAATAAACAAAACAAACAATCTTTTTTTGTCTTAATGTTACCTAGAACAGTGATGGAATGGACAAAGCAGCATGACAGGGCTCTTCTGGATGAAATGACAATGAGCGATCTTTTTCAGTACAAGAAGGGCACTCCAGAGAGGGGTCAAGTATGGGATTCTATTAATTAATTTAAGTAATTTAAATGCAATGGATTACCCAAAGTTTAAAGTTGCAAAACGGCCATGTCGCGATCGTTGGACACTATTACGCACTAAGTATAAAAGAAGGATGTCAGAAGAAATCCAAGCAACTGGAATGGATGCTGAGGTTAGAGAACTTGACAAGATCATTGAAGACCTTATTGGAAAAGATGCTGCTATTGACAATGATAAAGATGGAAAGAAGAAAGCTGAAGCTGATAAAAATGTAGCAGAAGAAATACGGATAAAGGCTATGGAACGGTTTAGAAACACCAGCAAAAGAGGCGGAGAGGAAGGAGCCAAAAAGAAAAAAAGGAGAAGTGGCAGTGATGCAGTAGAATTTCTCAGAGAAAAAGCAAAGTAAAAACATTCTCTGAGAGAGGGAGAGATGCAGTTAAGGAAAGATTAACAAAGCCAAACACTGTTGATATTACAGCAACAACAGCAGATGAATCAAGCATTGCTTACCCTCATGGAAAAAATGTTGCCTAAAGAGAAGAATTAACTGTTAATTACTATAGCTTACTTTGTTGTTGTTAGCCAATGGTGTCTTTTTGAATGGCACTTTTATGTTCATTAACTTTCATAGGACAATGGCATTTATGAAGGAAATGTTTACATTTTCATATTATAATCATTTAAATTCCCTTATTATGATGAATGCCCTTTGGAAACTTTGGTGGTTTCTTAGTCATGCAGAAGCTGGTACGAAAAAAGACAAATTAGGCTTAAACATTTTGTTGTTAATATATTGGACAAAATTGTTTGACTGTACATGTTGAATATATGTTTATAAAAAGTGTCTGAAATTTTGTGCCTCACAAACCCTGCACCCAACAACCCAACAACCCTTGACCATGATAGGTTTATATGCATTTTTTTTTAATCAACTGATTGGGAGGGGCTGCTCCTTAAATTTCCTAAGGTAACGCCCAAGTTATTGCATAT